GCGATGGGGAGTTCCACCCATCGCTGTTAGAGCCTTGGTGCAAAATTACCACAAGGCAGAACGACCTTGCCCAGCGATAGGAAGTCTATCCCATCGATGGAAACCCAGCGATGGAAAGGGTATACCATCGATGGGAAGGCATGACCGTTGGTGGTCATTAAAGGTTGATTCTTTCCTTGTTAGGAAGTCAATCTCCCACCCAGCGATGGGAAGCTTGTACCCATCGATGGGTAGGTGACCGTTGACTTCAAAACTGAAGGAAAATTGGCTTACCAGCGATGGGTAAGTCCCAAACATCGATGGGAAACCAATATTCTGCAGATCCCAAATCTTTTCAATCCCATAAATCAAGCTAATCACTCCTTTAAAGCATTGGTCCGTTGGAGCCTAATTTTGCACTATAAAAAGGGGTGTTTGGGTCTGCTTTTCTCACCAATTCACTTCACAACATCTATACTTTCATTGCATTCAAATATCATAATTTTCCATAGCTTTCTAGAGCCACTTGTGTAAAGGTTGAGTTGTTCTTGAGCGTACTTAGTTTACTCATAATCTACTCTATAAGAGAGTCTCGTTCTTGAGTGTACTTGTGTTCTTAGACACGTTGAGAGATAGTATCACTCTCCGTTGATTCAAAGGAAGGTCTGTTTCCTTTGAAGGATTCGTTGAGGTTCGTGTGACTCGAACTCTCAAGTTGTAACGGTTTGTTAAGCACCCGTAATCTTAACGAGTTAGTAGTGTAGCTCGAGAGAGTCTCTCGGGAGGCTGGATTAGCCACAAGTTGTGGTGAACCAGGGTAAAATTCGGTGTGCCTCTTACTCTTCTCTTTACTTCTCTTTTAAATTTTTAATTCCTGCGACTTCTCCGATCAAACGCTATTCACCCCCCCTCTAGCGTTGGTCTTTTATTCTAACAGCGAAGATTGGAGTAGAAGGCTCGCACAAAGGCGGGATTGAAGCTCGAGCGACTCCTGGAGACGAACGACCACAGACCCGATGCTTGAAGCTGATTGTTGAGGTCGTGGTACCCCTTTTGTTGAGGGTACAACTCGGGCAGCACCCTAGGCGGAGAAATGGGACGCTTGGCAAAGTGCGTGAGGAACCGGTTGAGTTCCTCCTCCGACCCGAACTCCAAGAAGGATCCGTCCAGGTACGGAAACGGCTGGGGCGTAGAGGTCGTAGCTTCGGCGTTGCCCTTCTTCTTGGAAGCCTTTGTCTTCTTTCCTCCGGCCATGATTGAAGCAAAATGATGAAGAAATATGTAATAGAGGAGATTTTGAAGTGAAAAAGGTGTGTTAAAATGAGTGGAGATGAAGGATATATATAGGGAAAGGTGAGAAAACCGTTTGAATTTGAAAAAAGTGACTGTTGGGCCATAAATTTGGTGACCAACGGTTAAAAAATTTGAATTTGCAGCAGGCTTCCCAGCGATGGGTGGAACTTCCCATCGATGGGAAGGTCGACACTGGAAAGCGAAGGGGAAAAACAAGGCTGCCATCCCATCGATGGTCAAACACACCCATCGATGGGAGGGTGGCTACTGGAAATTCGTCAAAACGTTTTAAAGGCAGTGTCAAACACCCAGCGATGGGAGAAATTTCCCATCGAAGGCATACGCTAAACATGATATCCGGCCTACTAGCAGTAAGATAAAGAAGGGATCCGATCATACCTCGATACTTTTTGACTTCAACTTCCTTACCTTTTTCGTCTTTGTCTAGGTGGTCAGATGTGCTCATCGGGGTTGCCATTGCTTTGGCGTTTTCCATTTCGAATCGTTTTAGGAGCTCCTTGCAGTATTTGGTTTGGCAAATAAACGTGCCATCTTTCATTTGCTTGACTTGGAGTCCCAAAAAGAATGTAAGCTCACCCATCATGGACATCTCAAATTCACTTGTCATTAACGTTGAAAATTCCTTGCACAAAGACTCGTTAGTAGCACTGAATATAATATCGTCTACATAAACTTGAGCCAAAAGGATGTTATTGTTTTTACTCTTGATAAAAAGTGTAGTGTCAACCTTTCTCCTTTGGAAACCACTATCCAAAAGAAATTTACTCAAACGTTCGTACCAAGCACGTGGTGCTTGTTTAAGACCGTAGAGCGCTTTCTTGAGTTTGAAGACGTGATCGGGAAACTCAAAGTCCTCAAACCCCGGGGGCTGGTCAACATACACTTCCTCTTGAATAAAACCATTGAGGAAGGCACTCTTAACATCCATTTGATAGAGTTTAAAATCCATAGACGAAGCAAAAGCAAGAAGTAAGCGAATAGCTTCTAAACGTGCTACGGGTGCATAAGTTTCTTCGAAATCAATGCCTTCTTCTTGATTGTAGCCTTTAGCTACGAGCCTAGCTTTGTTTCTAGTGATTATTCCATTTTCATCAAGTTTATTACGGAACACCCATTTCGTACCAATAATCGTACGATCATCGGGTCTTGGCACCAATTCCCAAACGTCATTTCGTTTGAATTGGTTTAGCTCCTCTTGCATAGCCAAGGTCCAATGTTCATCGTTTATTGCTTCGGAAATGGTTGTAGGTTCAATTTGAGAAACAAAAGCCATGTGTCCTACGGTGTCCCTAAGTGAGTTACGAGTACTTACCCCGCGGTTGATGCTGCCGATTACCTGGTCAAG